AGTAGGTGGTGGTCACATTAATGTGACTGGACTGTGTAATTCGATGAACAGATCTCACTAGTTGCTGTACTTGTGAAATACCGGGAGAGAGTCACCGGATTTTTTGAGTGCTGAATGTGAGAGGTGTTTTAACTTCACATTTGAAGTCGCTCCTGTGTTGCCACTAGCAGTCAAGAGTATGCATGCGTTGAGAGTGTATGACGTTGTATGTTCGAAGGTCACCAATGTGGGGGGCGGAGCTATCAGACCATGCCAACCTTCATCTATCAAAAGGTACCTCATGATAGAATCAAGTTAGCATGCTTTATATACTAGTGAATGATGTTAAACTTTTGTAGTGGTAGTTACGCCACAAGGTGTTATATTAGTATATTATAATAATTTGACCAAATTATTAGACGCACTGTAGTGTTTTATTAAAGACATGTTTTGCACGAGTTTATATGCAATACTCTTATATTTAAACGTAAATGCAATGGGTTTTTATAGAGGAGATTTTTTATTCTTATTTGTATTTTTTTTAACGTATAATACACGTACATAAACAAGTTTAAACCGGTTTTAGCAGCGTAAAATAAATAAGGCTGTAAAGTATCAACTGATAAGTAAGATTTTACATAGAATCTTACAGTGAGTCAAATAATTTGGTCAAGGACTATATAAAGATTGCGAACAATGCAACGCTTAAATTAAAGTATACGCTGAAAATATTTCCGGATCATATTCCGGTAGTAAGTATCTGCACTTTAAGTATACTGTAATTCTTACAGTAATATTTATTTAATTAGAGCGATTTAGTGACTTTCTGGTAATTAATATTGAAAAAAAAAACGGTTTATCAGATTTTTTGCTCTGTTAAATGTCCCTTGAAAATGGATTCTCAATGCTTATATTTTTAACCGTAATTTGATTCGGAAATTTTAGGGTTTTATACATTAAATTAAGAATGTTTGTAATATTCTTATGCGGTAAAAGCAGCTTTAATTAAATATTAAAAAAGGATTTGATTTCTCTTTATAAATGAACAAAATTTTGTTATAAATCATTCAGTTTTTATGGTTTATATATATTAGTGTCTATAGGACTACTAATATACATATAAACCACAAATATTAGCTCATTTAGGAGTAGTCCTTTAGTAGATTGCTTAATTAAATTGATTTCATTGTAATTTGTTATCATGTAATTTTTTTCGTGTTCATAAAGTTTCAATATATGTAATTGTATTTAATATAACAAAGCGATTTATATTTTATCATTATAATATTAACGTTTTCTTTTGTGAAAGTCTTTATCAGATTTGAAATATTAATATTGTATGATTTTAATGAGAATGTTTAATTATAGCACCAATTTACTAGTGTAACAAGTTCATATTCAAGTAAATATCCATTTCAACTCAGCTGATTGGCAATAATTGAATGTTAATAATAATTGATTGAAACAATAATTGAATGTTCTCACACTAGAGTCTCCGTGAACAGTGATTTTAGTTTCATGGATTGAATATATATTTGGTAGAGCACTAACTAATGCATAGTTTACATATTCTCTTTGGAAAATATGAGCAGTTAAAACTATGTTATATATCTACCTATACTTAATACATCTTCTTTCAGCTTTACCATACATACGTTTTACGTATTACAACTGTAAAAGGTTTTGATTGTTTTTTTTAATTGTTTGCTTATTTTTGTAGCTCATTGTATGTTCCACAATAAGAATGTTTAACATATTTTAAAAATTTTCTTGGCTAAAGATGAAGTTTTTAGAGGTCAATATGGTCATGATATATATATATATATATAATGACNATTATAGTATGGGGAGGTAAAAGTTTGAGAGTGCATGCACAGGGTAAGGATAAAGAGGCTTAATATTTCGGTTAAAAAAGGTTTAAACACCGTGGAAAATACATTTCTGATTCAACCACATTTTTTTTTGAAGAAACTTGGAGGAAAAAGATTAAAAAAATAAAATCGCTTGCTTTAAAAGGCGTTTTCTAACTAAAGATCAAAAGGCCGTTTTCAGTATTTACAATTTTAAAATTGCTTTATTTATATCTCTGACCGGTTGCAAAAGAAATTAATTGACATGTTTTTGGAATAGTTTTCTTCTTACTTAATTATCGGATAATTATTTTATTGCACCTTCCCTGTCCATTCCATTGTGTTTCATGTTTTAAACTTTTGAATTAATTTTTATGCTTCTGCTCTTACTATCTGTATTATAGAGCTTATCATAAATGTCTATATTTTTCAAAAAATAAAATCCCTGTGAATTTTAATTAATGAAGATTTTTAAACCATTGATTTTTTATTAATCTTTCAAAATATATTCAAAATCTATATATGTAAATTTTAATATCTTAGTTTCGGATCATTATACTTGCAAGTATATCAGTTTAGTGCTAAATTATTTATCTTGTACAATCCTAAATCAGCCTTTGTGATAATAATAGAGAATTGAAATAGTTCAATTTTTTAATTTCTTTTTTTTAAATAAATATCAAAAAGAATATAGATATTTTTTAAAATTATTACATTTATATTCTCAAAAGTCATCGTTAACACTGTGCATTAACAACAAAAACAAACAACTAAAACAAAAATTATTCCTAAAGCATTAAAAGTCCATAATGATCTTATTCCATAAAACATATCAATGCACTTCCTAGCAAATTTAAAATATTTGTATATTTGGACATAATTTTTTTTCCAAACAGAAAATATTATTCTACGTTTTATTTGCGAAAAAAATAAATGTTTGTATTTAAATTTGTCTTCAAAATAGAATGTCAAAAATAAATTTAAAAATAAATATAGAAATTAATAAATAAAATATTTAATGCAAATATATTAAGCTTAGGTTCTTAATTCATTAATAATGCAGATCATTTATTATTCAGCAAGGAATGTGTCAGCTTAAATGTAATTTTATTAATTATGTCTAAATAGAGCAAATTAATCTTTATTAGCAATGGCACAATAACAGTTCTTAAAAGATTAACGTTTTCATCTGCAGAAAATAACGTAGCCTCGAGGTTTATTTCATTTTATTTTTTTTTAAGAAAGTCACAACGCAAAACTAGTTTATTCATATCATTACGTTACTTCAGTTGACGTGCATCAGCAATAAACTCTAGAGAAATATTTTATTAACTAGGATTTTTTTTCCGACTTTGCGAACGGCTGTCTCTGTGGGTTGTGTTTTGTGCCCCAGTTCATGAGTAAATTCATGTTATTGTAGGCTAAAACTGCAGACGCTTTCAGTGTAAATCATTTAGAGTATCTCTTCTGGGAAAAGTGCGAAAGGTAGCGAGATCTTTTCAAGAAAAAGATTCAAAATTTATTTAGCAGAGTTTTTCTATTTTTACTTTCCTCAAAAGGAAGTTTAATTTTCTTTCCGCAAGCAAATGTCTCTCTCAGCAAGGCTTAGTAAATTTTTAATTTTGGTTACAGAATTATTTATTTGTTTTATTGCATGTTTTGGTATTTAATTTTAATGTTTGTTCGTCATCGTAAAACCAGTGTTTTTATGGGGTTTTTTGAAATTCCAGGAGGTCATTAAGTGGCCAGAGTTTTCACTTTATTGCACACTGACTCTATTGAGCCTAGATTTATGCAATACCCACAGTTCTATTCTACCAAAAAGGGTATTGTCACGCAGATATGAAAGAATTTAAATTGCCTAATGGACTGAAGAAAACCATTCTAGCGAGATATAATGTGGAATTGGATTTGTTCTTTTAGAGTGGAATTTCTTTCTTTTAAATGAATCTGTTAGAAAGCTTTTTGAACGAAATGTGTAAATTTTCGAAACATTTTTTTTTTCTTTGAATCAAATTTATTTTAGAGACTATCACAAATTTCGTTAATATTTTATTTTATTTATTAATATTTTAAATAGAGGTACAATCGGCGTCTGGGACAATTGCATTCTCTGGCAAAAAATATTAACTTAATCTATAAAAAGTATATAATTAATTAAATAAATGATAATATTTTAATGTGATAAAATATTGATTAAAATTAACTGAAAATTATGTTAAATTTAGATGCATAAATTTTATTTTATTTTATAACCAGTGTAGAACAACCAATTTAATTCTTAGTTTACGATTATCAGTATTCAACTCCATTGCCTTGTAATTTTGAAGCCAACTCAAAAGATAAGAAAAATCCTGGGTAAGCATTGGGGCTAACTAGCCTTATCGGAGGACTTTTTGATGGAACTAATCCAGATTTGAGTTGCATGCTTAAGAAAATCACGTAAACCCCTCATGGTCATCCCGACTGCAAGGAAATTCTATTTCATGATACGTCTACTACTGAGGATATTTTACGTCAGCGTTGAGGTCGGTGCGAATCGAGAGCAGAATTTGTATTAAGCAGTGGGATTTGAACCTGAGTCACCTCACTTGGTCATCTCCCCTGAGCCACTGTGACTCTAAAAGATAATCCTGACATCGGTGGGGAAATTTAATTTTTATATTATTTTATAAACGTCATTAAACAGATGACCCAATTTGGAGTTTACTACTATCAATGTTCAACTCCATGGCCTTGTAACTTTGAACCCGATCCAGAAGACACGAGAACTCCTAATCAAGTAGTGGGAGAAATTTATTTTCTTGGAGGACTTTTCTGATGAAATTATTGTTACATGAAGAGGAAAACCACGTAAACCTCCCACGGAAAGTCTAACTTCAAGAGTGCTCTGATTTATAGCGTCTACCACTGAGGATACTTTTGCATGCGTCAGCAGTGCAATCAGTGCGAGCCGGATGTGGAATTCGTATCGACCAGCCATCGCTGAGATTTGAACTCGGGCCACCTTATTGAGAGACGAGTGTTTATATCTTCTACACCAACACGGCTTTAGGGGCTTAAATTGTTAAAAAATTAGCTTGTTTACTACTTCTTCTACAATTTAGGTTCTTACTTATCATACTTTTAACTATAGTTGCAGTTAAAATACCCCTTTTTTATTCTTTACAGATTCACGGGGATCCGGAGGTAGAGCTGACGATATTTCCATGAGCTCCTACGGTAAGGCAAAGGGTAATTCCGTCTATGACTCCCAAAGAGAACCACTGTATTATCCTCTGCCTTACGCCACCACACACATTCCGAACCACCACGTTCCAGAACAGATAACAGAATCTCCAGAACAGAGTCTTCAAAGAAGTCGCGGTGGAGGTCGCATGTCAGAGCATACTTACGACATACCACAACGAGTCCAGGTAACGAAGGGTCAGTGTGAGTCTCTAGTTGTCAGCTTTTAATTACGAATCTTTTAACTTATTATTGCACACATGGAGTTATTGCATGGAACTTAATTTTAATTCAATCATGCGAATTTGTAGGTTATGTATTAAATCAGCTATTTATCAGTAGCACTTTAAAAAACACTAAAGGAAGATTTAAATTTCTAGAAACTTTCTTCGTTTTTGACAAAACCCACCTCTGGTTCTGAGGGAACAATTCGTTAAAGTGACGACTATCATTTCTAACAACTAACTTTGAAGAAACGAAGTTCGTCAACAGTAAAAAATAAAAATTCATGATTCAAGTTTTTTCTAAAAAAACAACTTGTACTGTTTAAGGTATTTAATTTTTCTAAAAACCACTTTCCAGTGGCACCACATAAAGTACACACAATGGTTAAGTTGTCCATCTTCTACAGTACACTGTGATGAGTTTTCGTGAGGAAACATATGTTTGACTTTTGAACCTATCCAGAAGACAAGGAAACTCCTGGATCAGTACCCTCAGAGGTTTTGATTTTCTATGGGAACATGGAGGACTTTGCGACTCACTAGATTTAACGTGCATTAGTCAATATTTACTATACGGAGAGTCTTCGACCGGAGGGAATCGAACCCATGAGCTCTTGGACATGGGCCCAGCACCCTACCGACCAGGCTATCCAGACCTTGTAGGAATATTTGCTTCAACTGAACAAGATGACCAATAATCATCTGACTGAAATTTCCTTAAGTATAAATAAACGAAGCATATTGGAAAAATAGACCGACAATTTTGAATTAAATTAGAAAATGAGCAATCAAAACAGATTCAATTTAAAAAAAACCGTCAATTCAGATTCAAAATGGAAAATAGATAGTCAAATCGGAATCAAATTAGAAAGTGGACATTGAGTGTAAAATCAGTATCCATTTATAGAACTCAATTCATAGTAGGACCAGTTTATTTACATTTATTTTCAATGTTATCTTAATTATTTCTTAAAGTATTATTATTTAATATTACGCAAAATATTATCACTAAATATAACTTTACCATAATTTAGACAGCCATTGTTACATGAAGCCTAACAATCCACTTACTAAGTAAATCACTACAGCATTTATTTCAAATTCTCATTTTGTGTAGAGATCTTTTATAAATTAATTATATAGTTATTGATTTATTGCAAAACATTTACCTGTATTTTCTAGTAAAATATCTTATTTTATGAGATTTTATTATTCTTTTGGTTAAGTTGTGAATCCCAAAACCACTCAATAAACATTCATTATTGTTGCTTAGCAGAACTATCCTTATATTTCGTGTATTTTTCTTGTTATGCCATTACATAATTAAACATTTTTACCAACAGCTTCATCACAACGTGCCTCTTCATCAATATTCCCAGCTCTGGGCTAATTCCAGAGGTTTTGCCGAGAAATCTTCATTGATGGTACCGAGAGGTAAGTTATCGCATTAATCATTCCTATGTGTCACGTGACATGAGATGAATCTAATGATACTAAGTACCATCTTGGTGTGTCTCTGCCAAAACTAATGTAGAATACGAGTTCCCTTATCATCAAAGGTATGAATTTTGTACGAGAGACTGAGAGAATACCTAATGGAGGACCTAGATTTAGAATAGTTTTTTCCTCCCCTCTCACGTTATTGGGCTTATGATCAAACCCATTAAGCCTTCTTCTAAAATAGTCTTGGAATAAATATGAAATCTACATTTAAATGTTACCTAGTATAAATGCAGAAAAAATTACTTCAAAGGTATATGAAATCTATTTTTAAAAAGTAATCGATGTAAAAGAAAAATAATTGTATTTATGGAAAACTTCGATGTTAATAAATATGAAATCTATATTTAAAAAATGTCCGCTATCGAATTAAAAACATGTTACGTCAACTGGAAATGCTGTTATGAATAAATACATTAAAATAGTACAAATTTGAGTTAAAAAACAATAATAGTAAATTTACAGTAAAATAGTATCTTCTATTAAAAATGTGGATCAAATGAAAACTTCAACTATTAGTTGCCTAAATTTTTTTATGCTTTTTCTTTAAATTTTAATATTCTGCTTAATTATAGTAAATATTGCCTTATGAACTTAAAAATATCTAAAAAACAGGGCAGGTTTCTTTGGGTACAAAATGGATACATGTTTTCTGCTATTTAAAGATGTGATTGAAGCATGTGTAATACTTTTAAAACTTCATAAAATAAATTAATTTTTCGTAAATTAAGAATTTAGTTTCTTTAGAAAATAAATAAAATGTAGTTATTTAGTATGAAAGTCCTTGAAAATTTTTTCGCGCAGTCTAATTTTGTATTTATTACACTTTCTAGTGACCTTTCTTCCACAATTTTCACGGCATGGTATTTGTGTTTTGTTCACATTGACAAAACTGCTTAATACCAACATATCTAATAACATATTGCTCTTTGCATCTGCGTGTTACAGTAACTGGTCAAGCTGGAAAATCTAACATCATGGAAAATCTAACATCTTTAAGATAATTGTCACGAACAATATACCAGCCAAGTATTTCAAATTGTACTTTCTAACTCAACATATAATGACCATCAACATTTCTTAGATGGTATGGGACAAGGATATGCATTTTCAATTGCAGAAAAAATAAATTTTTAAAAACCACCATATAAATTACGAATTTCGAGTTTTATACCATATTACGTATTTACATGGAAGTATTTCGGATCATATTATTAAGTTTAATTGTGCAAAATTTTCATGATATATGTGTAAAATGATGCCTTGTATAAAAAGCTTCATTTTTAGACCATTTCATAATTTTTTTTTAAAGATATTTTCAGACAGACATTTTCTTTCTCATTTCTAGTAATAATGAAAAACCGAAAATTAAAAAAATTTATAATATTTTTAAATTTTAAAATATTCTTCAATAATATAGCTATAAATAATCTTCAATAGTATAGCTTGCTTTAAAGTTTTTTTTATGCATAAATAAATTATTTATTATAGATTTTTTTGTATAAGATATAGATTTTTTAAAGATATTTTCAGACAGACATTTTCTTTCTCGTTTCTAGTAATAATGAAAAACCAAAAATTAAAAAAATTTATAATATTTTTAAATTTCAAAATATTTTCCTAATTGTATCTTCAATAGTATAGCTTGCTTTAAAGTTTTTTTTATGCATAAATAAATTATTTATTATAGATTTTTTTGGATAAATCTTGCATAAATTTGTTGAAAAATGAATACTTCTTTCAATAATAAAGAAAAATACATGAAAATAAAATAAAATAAATATATTTAAGAACACCAAGAAATTATTTCAATAATTAAATATCCCAGGATAAATGTTTAAATGAATTTTTAAAAATATCATTCAGATAAAACATAATAATAATGCACCAGCACGAGGAAAATCAAGTACAATTTTTTTCCTACCGTCTCAAAATAAGGACAATACATAAACACTAAAAAATATCAAAAAAAGTAAAAATATACATTCCAAGGTACTAGTTTATCTAATACATAACAACAGTTGTGTATATGATTAATAAGGAAAATAAATATAAGGCCTTAACTTTTCTTATCGCCGCATTTTATTCTTTATCTATTTCTTGAATAGAAAATGTGCATTGGTAGCCAAATATTTTTCTAATCAGGATTTTTCATGCCTAAGCAAAATATTTGTTTCCGTTGTAAAATATTTGGTGTGAGAAATATAATGTTTTATCCACCGCTTATCATATATTTAATCCAAATATATTTAATCATATATTTAATCCAAATTACCCAAATTTGCTATTTAACGCTTAATAATTCCATGAAACATATTTTTAATAATTATTTTTTCTTTTCGTATTTTTCCTTCCTTTAATTTCAGTTTTTTCAGTGATTTTGAACTAAAGAAAAGATAAAAGTTACAAAAATTAGCTATCACACATGAAAATTAAGGACTTTTACAACAGATACCCTGGGTCTTTCATCGTGGAAACTATGACTTTTAAGTAATTAAACTCTGTAGATGATAGATAGTAGTAATATGAAATCATAGAGTAAATAAAAATTTTATAATTATAACAAGTTAAAAATCACTAGATTTCCCCTATTACAACAAAATAGATTTAGGGATACAATATTATATGAAAAAGGATTTTAAGGATGACATTTCTATTTATTTATGATATCAATACAAAAAACGCGTCGTACTCTTCTTACAATTTTAATCCGTATTTTTGTACGTGTTCGACAAGCGTATACGACTACGGATAAGTTAGGATCTTTTCAAAAAAAATTCTACAATTCTACTGTTTTATATTAAAAATTACTATCGATGCTTAAAAAGAATGCATCTAATGTCGTCCATATATCTATCATCCTTTTATTTCCCTAAATAATAACTTAAAATTAAATTTAATATTCATTGTTACCAAATAACGTCAAATGAATGGTGATAAGCTTTATTCTTCTTTCTTCTTGAAAAAATCTCGCTATAGTTTAGAAACACGTTGTTTAAACATTTCTGTTTTAGAAGTTTCTGTCTTTTAAGAAATTTCGTTTTTTTTTTAGAAAATACAGAGTTACGTAATTCAGTTAACAATCTGTACCAAGCAGTCAACTCTAATTATGTATTTTAATACGTAATGAATGTATTTCAATACGTACTAAATACGTAATGAAAGAAAAACAGTTTCATTACATATTACTTTTACCGTACTTTTTTTGCTCAAAAATTTGGTTTAAATAGTTCACATAGTTCTCTTAGAAAGCATTCGATATTCTTGCTGCTAATTTCACTTTTTGCATACATCACAATAATTCTATATCTATTTTGACGAATTGGAAAACATAAGTGATGAATTTAAAAAATCCATTTGCTTAAAATAAATTTTTAATTATTATGTAATTTAATAGTAATTTACAGATCTTTGATTTGTAAGGAAAATACATTTTTACATTGGAATTTTTAAATAACGTTTTACATTGGAATTTTTACATAACGTTTTACATTGCAAGATTATCTCTTTCTCATTCAAATACTGTTTTAAAAATTCCAGAAAATATACTAACAGTCAATAACGTTTGAAAGTTTTACCATATTAAATTTTTGACTGCATTGCTTTACTTAATTTAACGTTGAACCAGCGTTTTTAAAACTGCTATTTCAAACACTAATAGCTTGCTATAAGTCTTTAACATTTTTTTGCTGCTTATTTTCGAAAATTACACACGACTTTTTTTATCATTTACAATACAAAATATTTCGTAATAATCATTAAATTTAAAGTCAAAGGATTTGACATTGATAATGTGATAAAGTGAGGTTAAAATGTAAAGATGTACTGCATAAAAGTAGTAACATTCAAAGTGCTTTTGCTTTATGTTAGAGAAACTTTAATTTTATTCTTATAGTAAAAAAACTTTACCATACTAAACTTCTTAAGTGATTAAATTTCAAAAAGCTTAATAATTCTTTAGAATGTTATCGTCTGCAGAAAAAAACTTATTTTGTTAAATAAAAAATAAAATTTTTATGTGAAGAATAATGCATTGAAGATATTATTTCAAGTCTGTGCATATTCTGATAATGTATATTGTTTTACTTTACCCCCACTGATAATTTGTCGGTTTTAAAGAATTTTTAGCAATGATGTAGATTTTAAACCAGAACGTAAACACATTTTTGTTTCAAATATTGGGACAAATTCGTATTTTTATAAAGATTTTTTTGATAAAAAAAACCAAATTGCATGCAAATTAAATTGAAAAAGAAATTTTAAGAGCCTCACACGATTATCCAAAAATTAATTATGAACATTAGTCAAGGAATATTTTGTAACTCATTTTTCAAAGTTTGAAAAATACTTATAATACAGAGTAGTACACTGATGTCCATAAATTAAGGATAATAGCAGCTTTGTAAAATCAAGGTTCGGAAAAAAACGTGATTAATTCGTGGAATCTAATATTGAACAAAAGAAAAAGAACAAAAAAGGACGTGTATATATAATACTGTTCATAAAAAACTACGACTCCTTTGAGCAATTATAAAAAAAAATATTTTTATAAAAACTTAATATAACACGGTTGCTATGATAATTAATGCATTGAACGTCTCCCATGAAACTAAATACACTACGTTCAATGCCTAGGCAGGCTGAGTATCAAGCTGATCTTGAGGAAGATTGCTCCATTCAGCAATCAATGCTCTTTGATGCNAACTTAATCTTAATATAACACGGTTGCTATGATAATTAATACATTGAACGTTTCCCATGAAACTAAATACACTACGTTCAATGCCTAGGCAGGCTGAGTATCAAGCTGATCTTGAGGAAGATTGCTCCATTCAGCAATCAATGCTCTTTGATGCTCCGGTACACATGTAGGAAGTGGTTAAGTGGCTGCAACTCGTCGGTGAAGTATGTTTCACACATCCTTAAGGCAGATCCTCAAAGGATTCCTAAGAAGGTTCCTTAAAGGCAGATGAGAATGCTGACCATTCCATACTATCAGATTGTGATTGCTCGGAGAGAACGGATTGTGTCATCCGAAAACTCAATTTCTGCGCCCATAGCCCTCCTAAACAAGAGTATATTTTTGCTTCAGAATGAGGTCCCAATATATTCACCCTTCATTCCGATTTGAACATGCAGATATGTTCATGAGCTCAGTATAATCCATCCCCAGAAACGAGCAATCGTTCAAAACCGTAACGAAGTCGTTAAGTAATATTGTCTTGGAGGTAACGCGTATCTGGCGTATATGAAAGTTTGGCATGAATTAGACTGCAAGCTGAACCTGGACTAGTCGGAAAACATTATTGCGTTCACATTGCATGATCCGTACTCCAAGCTAATCACGGATGGCAGCAAGGTGCCGTGAGCGGAACACGTCTGACAGGTCTGCGAGGATGGTTTGTATCGTAACTGTGTATCCGTAGCTGCAGATGGCGGACGAGACGGGTCGGATAGTTCCACAGGTAAAATTTTAACTTTAGAGAAATTCCAAGTGATTCTGAATTATCCTTAATTTATGCATATGAGTGCATATTTACATGCATGTGTATATTATGGATAGACGTGTAAAATTCTTTTTTTTTCACTTAGGGGAAATCGAAGATTTCGATGTAGCAATAGCAATGGCAGAAAAGTATGCAGCTTTCAGATTAAGCCAAACACGGTGAGTTTCAATTTATCTTAATTTTTCATTCGATTATCATTAAACTTAGTTTCCAGAAAAAGTGATTAAATTTGATTTAAAGCGTAATTAAATTGACAAGGACTAGCAATCATGAAGATTTTTCTGATTGAAATCAATGCTATTACATGAACAAGACGATGAACAACTAATTTATGCTCAAGTTGCACTTTTTCAACAATATTTTGTTTATCAACTATATCCCATGTAATTAATATAACAATGTCTAATATTAAATTTATTTTATATTTGGAGGAGTAATAAAACTTTGGAAAAATTTCAAAATACGTTAGAAAAATGTTAAAGAAAGAAAAAAAAACATTCTAAATCGTAATTTGGATTATACTCTCTGACGAAAAGTATCCGGTCACCCTGATGTCATGGTGGTGAAAACATAATGGTGTGGGGTGTTTATCGGGGTTTAGCCTGTGTCCATTAGTTCCTGTTGTTTCAAACATGAACTCTGAGAAGTATATGGACATTCTGGAAAATTTCTGCACTCCCAACTCTATGGAAATATTTCGAAAAATGTCCATTTTTCTTCCAGCGGGATAACTACTCTATTTACACATGGAGGCTCGCACAGACATGGTTTGCGAAAATGGGTGTTCAAAAACATGACCGGCCTTCTTAGAACCTCGGTCTAAAACCCACACACCTTTTGGACGTATTAGAACGCAGATTACGTAGCCAGCCAAATCGACCCTTATCACGGCAGCCACCCACTTCAGCTGTGATTGAAACCTGGATGTCAATTCCTATAGCCAACTATCAAGAACTGGTGAAAAGTCTTCCAAGACGTGGACTGGCGTTCATCGATATCGATGCAAAGGGGGAACCAATGTCATATTAATATTAGCCTTAGGAAGCTCATGCCAAGTACATGCCACAGGGTGTCCGGATATTTTTGGCCAGATAGTGTATATTAGAAAAATCCGATTTGCTATCGATTTTTAGATTTTTTGAACATGAAATTCAAAATTAATAAAACCTTTAACTAACTAAACAATTTTCTTCTAGGAATTATAAAAACCTTCTTTCAAAAAGAAGGTAAGGTAAAAATATTAAGTGGACGCCTGTTTCTCGCTGTGATTGATAATTGAAATGAAATTAAAGTAATGCATATCGAAAAATAATCTCGTCGAGATTGTGATGCTTTTTTTATAATTGTTTGTAAGAAACACTGCGCAAATTGATAGATTAATTAATTAATAAGGACTTGATTATTCCGGTACCACAGTCTTCATCACTATCCAACGGTTTGCGGTAGTATTTTTTCTTTTCGCAGTTGTGGTCAGCTAAACTACTAGTTGTGATCTATTTGACGAGATTCAATCAGATAATTTTGTACTTTTTTTTATCTGAAGCAAAGCTTTTCTTATTTTTTTTTAAAAAAAGTAGTTTTAGTGTTTTGATGTAAGAAAATTTTAGCGGTATTTTGCACAGTTATAAGCGAAAGTGTGGTAGCGCTTCGCGCTACCACGCCACAGGTCCTATGTCGATCCTCGGGCAGGACAAAGTTGACTCAGCCTTTCATCCCTTCAGTGGGTCGATAAATGAGTACCAAGCAAGCTTGGGAACTAAACACTGGGGGTTTCACGCTCGGCTGACCACCTAACCGAAACATTTGCTCCTGCACCCCAAGGTCAAGAAGCAGAAGTATGGAATGTAGGTAATTGTAGCTAAATTAAGTGACATGTAGCTAAATTGCATAAACCTAAAAAAATCATTGGGGAGGAAAAAAGGAAGCGGTAGAAGTCAATATCAGAAAGAATATTGATATTTTTAAGCGCTAAAAAAAGAGTTATATGAGTTTTGAAAAGGTTAATGTTTATAATCTATCTTTCGCGATAGATCAGTTTATTATATCAAACAATATTCTATAGTTTCATCACTATTTAATTGATAGATAAATTATAGAACAAAAACTAAACACAGTCGCGAATATTCGTTGCTTCACTGGAACCAAAAATACTAGTGTTCAAGGTTAAGGCATCTCTCATATTGCTGATTGTGGAGAGTTGGGGGTATGTGAGTTCAATCCTAGTTGCTGTTAAAACATTCAGCGTCTTTCGCAGCAAGATTCACGTTAAGTTTGCCGTGTGTGTAAGTACTCGAGTTGGTTGCAAGGTGGCGCCATCACTGCGTCTGACCAGGATCAAATTTAATGGGCATTGTGTAGAGCAATGAAAGAAAATAGAAGGCTAAGTGCCTAGCCATGAATGGGTGATAGACAGGGTTATTCATANCAAAAATACTAGTGTTCAAGGTTAAGGCATCTCTCATATTGCTGATTGTGGAGAGTTGGGGGTATGTGAGTTCAATCCTGGTTGCTGTTAAAGCATTCGGTGTCTTTCGCAGCAAGATGCACGTTATGTTTGCCGTGTGTGTAAGTACTCGAGTCGGTTGTAAGGTGGCGCCATCTCTGCGTCGCACAGCAATGAAAGAAAATAGAGGGCTAAGTGCCTAGCCATGAATGGGTGATAGACAGGGTTATTCATAATTCCTTTCGGGGTTTCGAAGCGTTATAGTAATAAAAGGAAGACGAATATGGCAAAAAAGAACATATGAAATTATTCCGAAAATATTCAGGTTTTAATTTAAGCAGTTGCCGGTAGATGGCAGCAACATATACTACTGAAGCCAGTTGTAGAAAAGGAAAATGGCGTTTACAGGCGGAGGGAATTATGAATAACCCTATATAAATTGATTGTTCAAGACGTGATATTGACAATCATTCATTCAGTAAATTTACCTTTATTCTTCTGATTCACCTTGAAAGCCCACAAAAAGTTATATTTCTACCAGTAGCTTTCTCTTGATAGCACTGCCTATATGCCCACACTAATGCTATTATAAGACGGTGTTTTTGAAAATAATCTTAAATAATTGAGTAGTTAGTTAGTAAACATTTGAAAACTTGAGAATTGAAAATGGGTTTCAAATAGCGATTATTTATGCGAAATTAATTTTTACCAACTGTTCAATATTTTAACTATTAAACTATAAATACCTATTATGTGTGGATTGATGAAGTCTAAAGATAAGATCTCGATACATCTAATTTCAATATGTGTTAAACTTATGTAAATTAGATTTGATAGAGTTTTCATTTCTCATCAATCGGAAAATTATTCCCTCTACATTTGAATCTCTACAATGTTGTATAATATCTGTCTCTTTTCTCCATTTCATACACTCTCTTGAGTTTCATGTTGCATCGATAATAAGAGTTTCATATACTAACACAGTTGCTTTGACGGAAAGCGACTTTTCCCTCAGGGAAGAGCTCCGTGTGATTTCCTATGCTATTCCGTAAACGAGAGCGTCTCCTGTATTTCGTAACACTGACGAGTGATTTGTTGGAGTTAAACCTCGAATTTGACGACACTCTCGCCATTTCTATTGTCAGATATATTTTATCAAATAATATCCGCCTTTTTGGGAGTGGTAATAAGATCAGGATTTGTGGCAGCTTTTATGAGAATTTACTCTCACTGTCTTTGTGAAATGTATGAATTCTCTAGGCGACTTGGCGACTGTATTATTGGCAAATGTTTCAGAATTCCACCCAGACATAAAAGTTATTATTGATGACTGAGAAAAATCTATTTCTTGGCATGGAAAGGTAGTAGTTTGCGAGAATAATAAATTTCAACTGTTCATAAATATAGTTTTAAAAAGTGACAGAACATACTTGGTTTCAGTTTAAAATTATAGGTGTTTGTTTCGGTTTACCAGAATAACTTTAAAATAAATTTTGGAAATGAGATGAGCAAATAATGGAAACTAAGTTTGTGGAATACATTTAATCTATTGCTGCTTTATAAAGTGGGTGTTTTCCGATCAACGTCTTTATTGAGATTTGGAAGTGTGAAAAAAAAACATAGAAACATATTAGAAGTTACAAACTGCAAAGAAAGAACCAAATCACACACTGAAACTATTCAATTGCTACTGAGGAAGACGAAATGAAAAACATCATGGTCAGTTTGGTTGTTCTGTGAAACAATGATTATAGGTAGGTAGAGTAGGCACTTTATTTACGTCACACTAGAGCTGCACAATGGTTTGTTGCGACTGTCTGGGAAATACCTCCGAGGATGATCCGAAGACATGCCATCGCTATTTTGAACCCATGAAGAGGGGATGGCTCCCCTGATTCGGTAGCCCAATGACCTACGAGCGAAATCGAGCACTGATACCGCGCACACTCAGTCCCTATGCAGGCTGATCAAAGCGGTCACCCTCCCACTCACTGACCACAGCTTGACTTCGGTGTTCTACAGGGAACCGTGTCTTTACGATCAGTCCAATGCGGGACGTTAAACAATGATGTGTTTCTATAAATCCCCTTTCAACTCTAATGCTTTCTTTTTCTCGTTAAATTAGTCATCTGTAGCTCTAGTATGTATGCCCTTTACGTAAGGATTGCAAAATTGTATACAAAGGAACGTCATTACGGAACATCCTGTCTAAAACAATCCTGCCCATTGAGCAATCATTATGTCCATTACTGACTATATTGTTTAAATTGAGATTTTATGTTTTTGCTGGATAGATTTAGCTTATAGATTTCATTAAGCCTGCAATTTTTTTTTCGAAAAATGAAAACTATACATACTTTTTTTTAAATTTAAAAATTATGATGTTTTATTGAATCACAAGAAGTCCTAACTTTCCTATCTAAAGAACGTAACACAGAATAATCAAATCAAGTTGGTTAATTTAAGACTACCATAATCTCTAAGCTTGCAATGTTTTATTTTGCAGAAGAGTATGTCATTTCAAGTTAAACTAACGAGTAAAGATTAATTGTTAAAAAAGAATTAAATTCTAAAAAACAAAATTGAGGTAAACAAAGCAGTAAATTATTGCTCATTACCTTACTACAAAAAATACTTATATGAATCAGGTCAGTCATAAAATTGTCAAATATCCTAGAAATTCTAAATATTTATTTACTAGCCATTACTTATTCT